GGGATACTGAGTGGAGTTCTTTACTTGATGTTGTTTCTTCTTTTTATGACAAACATGATATAATTATTCCAAATATGGATGATAAATTTCAATCTCGAGTGTGGTCAAGACATATTCAACAATGACAAACTCACATTACTATCGTGCCGAGCTATTTTATGTTGTTATTGATATGCAACTTAAAGAGCTAAATGATTGTTTCACTGAATCGAATACTGAGTTGCTTCTTTGTGTGGCATATCTGAGTCCATCTAATTCATTCTCTGCTTTTGACAAGAAGAAATTGATTTGTCTTGCTGAATTTATCCAAATGAATTTTATTTAGTAGAGCTCATAAGACTTTTTGATCAGCTTGGGAGTTATATTGTTGATTTGCGCTCTAACATTGAGTTCACAAACCTACCAGGGATTGGTGATCTAGCTATAAAATTGATTGAAACAAAAAAAAGACATAATATATCCACTAGTTTACTTACTTATGACTTTGGCATTGATATTACCAATTGCAAGTGCCAATGTTGAGAGAGCATTTTCAACCATAAGGATTGTGAAGACTAAGTTGCATAATCGAATGGGTGATTAATGGATGACAGATATTTTGATTACTTATATAGAGAAAGACATTTTGGATAGCATTGATAATTAAGGTGTCATGGAGCACTTTTGAAGTATGAAAACTTATGGGGATCAATTGTAAATGATAAAATCAACCTCATTTTTGTAAAGTATTATAATCAACCTCTTTTAGTTATTTTTTATTTGTATGGAATATATATAATGAATTAAGACCCTTTTATGTTTAATGAATTATGAAGTATCAAATACAATGTAGAAAATATAAATATATCACATTACTTTCTCTATTAGAGGATAAAGTAAATTTTGTAGTTAAAGTGTGTCCACCCTGGATTATATTCCTGGCTTTGCTACTGATTATTGAAATGATGAATTGTGGGAAGAGGTATTGATTCTTAGAATATGATTGTGAATTTCGCTATAAAATGGTAGAAATTGTATTTTTGATGTGTGTGTGAGTTATTTTTAAAATGGGTCATGTTGAAAATAGAAATAAAACTATGTATTTTTTAAAAAGTGTTGAAGTTGTGGTTGGATTTGGGAATAGATAGACAAAGGGTTAGTAGACAGTTAGGGCCCTTGAAGGGAGTTGCCAAGATAGCTACTAGTCTTGGGGTATTGGTGATGGTAGTAATTTTCGGTGATAGCTTATGTGACATCACAAGTTGTACCCTACACGTCCCTCCTTAAAAGTAAGAAGGGCAATGAGACCCTATGATGCAGGACCCAAAAAATTTGTCAAGGATGGCTCATTCGTGAACTAATGTTAGTTTGATGATATTTGTCTATATGGGTAACATACACAAATTTTGGGTGCCTAAAAACCTATATGCCAATATTCCAACAAACCGCTTGAGTGGGGTGAGGGTGAGGCGAAAGTACATGGAGTTAATATTTTTGAAAAATAACCCAAAAAAAATAAGTGTATGAACTTATGTTCAAAACAAGAAATGATGACTTTACCACATTTATTATCTATATACTTGCATAAAGATTTTTCACTCTGTGCTTTATTAAATCAATGGTGTTACTTTAAGATTTAAGAAGAAATGTTCTATAATGTAACCTTGAGATTTAGGTTCGATATGAAAAATTCCTTGATGTTTGACTTACGGATTTCAAATGATAGTACATAGGGTGTGTTTGTCTGGGGGATAAGTGGAGTATAAGGAGGTGGGATAATGTTTATTAGTACATGGGTCTCACTTATACTTTGTTCGTTAACCATTTTTAGCAACGTGCTAATTTTTGGATCTTAATATCTACCCGGTATGAACAATGGTGCTAAACCCATCTACATGGGTATATTTGATACCAGTTGGGAGATGATATTAAAAGGCGAGAAAAGGTGCACCAACGGTATAAGGCATCATAATTGCTATACTACCTCTTCCCAAGGAATGGAATGAATGATATTAGGGGTAAACATGTCTATTTTTTATATGCGATGTGACAGAATATATATTTTTTGGTGAGTCTCACAATAAAATATATTGTTCAAACAATCATGGGATGTGATTGCATTCATTTTTATCATTGGTATTAACTTCTTTCAGTATTGGAAGTGTATGGAATACATTAGTCATTCCCATGAATACCAATCCCCCAAACAAACACATCCATAATGTACTTTCAAAAATACCTATTACTTATCGTGTACCTAGACTTAATGATGAATTATTTCAGTACTTATTATTATGATTGTGAACTGGTGGCATTTAAAACTTTGTATATGCTTGAAAAAATGATTATTCTACTGGGTTGTGGTTACTCATCCCCTATTAACATTTTCAAAGACTAGCGTGCATCCTAGAACTTAGTTGAAAAAGACTTGTGCGAGCTTTAGGTTATGAGGGACACCTTTAGAAAATTTTTGTATTTACTCTTAGAACATTGTATAGAAATGTGATTGCATACAAACTTTTATTTGAAATATATTTTGAGGAGCTTGTGATGCAAACTTAATTACCTCATGAGAGGTTAGTCTTTTGGGTATTGTAATATAAAGTTATGGTTTTAGTGTTAAGTTTTGGTAGATGAAACTTATGTAGAAATACTAGGTTTTGGGCGGACTTTGTGGGTCTCCATTTGTCACTCCAACTTTATATTGAATTATGTTGTGATCAATGAATGATGCAGATCTTTGTTAGTTGTTTATGGTTCGTATGAAGTGGACAACTAGTTGGTTATACTTTATTATATATAATGCTCTCATAAGTCGTTCTTGCCAATGTTTGGAATGCTTGATTTTCAAACAAAACTTTGCTGAATTTTTTAAAAGCAAATCTGTTTCATTAAAATTAAATGAATTTTTGTGTTCAATCTAATTGTAAACTAACAAGAATTTTTTATACAAGTTATGTTTTATTTAACTCACATTTTTGTGAAATTCGGGGCGTGACGGTACTTACTTTGAAGGCTTCACCAGCAAAGTGGATCCAAAATCTCTATCCCAAAAAAAGGCTTTTACAGATCTTGCCTTTACTAATAGGGGCTAATCTATGGTCGAACACTCTATCTCATCTGGGATCACTTTACATGCAGGAATTTGCAGTGGAACAATTGTATGCTCCTTAAAAGGAGTTGAGTCTGAACTCACTCCAACAACATGAAGAGCAGCGTCCCAGTCTTCCTTGAATGACTTCTTCTTCACCTCCACAAACACAGAAACCTATGTCCTCTTGGCACTTGGCAACATCTTTTTCTTGTATTTCGTCCTCTTGTTTGGAGGCCATTTCCAGAGAATCCCTGAGTCTACTCGCTTCCTCGATCAGCAGAATACAAATTTTCTCGGCTTTGGAGAGCTTGTTCTTAACAACAGGCACCTTCAGCTATGCCTCGGTCATCCTCCATTCAGCCTCAGCAACAGAACCCTTACTTTTCTTCAAGCTTGTCGAGAACTCATTCATCTTGCCTGACAATTGCTAGACCTAAGCCACCTAATTGGCTACAAACTTCTCCTTGGCCTGCAGATCCTTCTTGAGGTCGTCAATGTTCCCCTGGGCCTTCTCATTCGAGAGCTAGTATGCCTAAAAGCAATCGGCAATGACTGACAATTTTTGAGAAATCTACATTGAAAGTATTATTAGGTTCAAGGCAAAAAGGATAGAAGAGAAAGGGAAATCAGACAAGTACAACCAATGCATTTTGGATCACCCCTTGGAGGGGCCCATTGTCAAAGAGATCTCGGTGTTGTTCCATGTTAGCCACAAACTGAAAGACCTCACTAATGGCATAAGCCACATCAAGCGACGAAGAGATGGAATCCATAGTCAGGACATCATTATCTTTCCTAGTAGTGATTCAGGGGTGCTACTCCAAAGTTTCGAATGAAGTCACTAGGGGCAGATGGCCAACCGCAGAGGGTTAGTTCTGGGAGCTTAAAGTAGTTGTTGTTGCCAAATGCCAAGTCGTGCTTTGACTTTACTCGTCACTCATTCTCAAGCCTAGTCTCCCAATCCCTATTGATACCCCGAGGAACGTTCAATTCAATCGGAGGAANAACACTCTATCTCATCTGGGATCACTTTACATGCAGGAATTTGCAGTGGAACAATTGTATGCTCCTTAAAAGGAGTTGAGTCTGAACTCACTCCAACAGCATGAAGAGCAGCGTCCCAGTCTTCCTTGAATGACTTCTTCTTCACCTCCACAAACACAGAAACCTATGTCCTCTTGGCACTTGGCAACATCTTTTTCTTGTATTTCGTCCTCTTGTTTGGAGGCCATTTCCAGAGAATCCCTGAGTCTACTCGCTTCCTCGATCAGCAGAATACAAATTTTCTCGGCTTTGGAGAGCTTGTTCTTAACAACAGGCACCTTCAGCTATGCCTCGGTCATCCTCCATTCAGCCTCAGCAACAGAACCCTTACTTTTCTTCAAGCTTGTCGAGAACTCATTCATCTTGCCTGACAATTGCTAGACCTAAGCCACCTAATTGGCTACAAACTTCTCCTTGGCCTGCAGATCCTTCTTGAGGTCGTCAATGTTCCCCTGGGCCTTCTCATTCGAGAGCTAGTATGCCTAAAAGCAATCGGCAATGACTGACAATTTTTGAGAAATCTACATTGAAAGTATTATTAGGTTCAAGGCAAAAAGGATAGAAGAGAAAGGGAAATCAGACAAGTACAACCAATGCATTTTGGATCACCCCTTGGAGGGGCCCATTGTCAAAGAGATCTCGGTGTTGTTCCATGTTAGCCACAAACTGAAAGACCTCACTAATGGCATAAGCCACATCAAGCGACGAAGAGATGGAATCCATAGTCAGGACATCATTATCTTTCCTAGTAGTGATTCAGGGGTGCTACTCCAAAGTTTCGAATGAAGTCACTAGGGGCAGATGGCCAACCGCAGAGGGTTAGTTCTGGGAGCTTAAAGTAGTTGTTGTTGCCAAATGCCAAGTCGTGCTTTGACTTTACTCGTCACTCATTCTCAAGCCTAGTCTCCCAATCCCTATTGATACCCCGAGGAACGTTCAATTCAATCGGAGGAATCAAGGGAAGAGGTGGCAAAAGCTTGTTCCTGCATGATGGGGCTAGGGCCAGAGGCGTGGTTATAAGTAAGGCCACTATCAAACGAGAGGAGGTCCCTAGACCCAAACGTTTGGAAGCTACGAGTGCCTACAGGCTATCAAGTGTAATCCATGGGCACTTTGACATGGGTTGGGACAGACCGTCAGATTTGTTCACGTTGAGGAGAACATCAAAATCAGGCCAAGCACTCCCAAGGTTGGCATGCTCAGGCTCATGATTAAGATCAAGATCCTCAATTCCAGTCAAACCCTCAAAATGCTCGGTGGTCCGATCAAGGTCTTCTTCCAAGTTCAGTTTCGGGTTATCTTCTTCTTCAGAATGTCATGCCAAAGGATAGGAACCAGAAAGGACTTAGAAGTACTTCTTATATCCGGGCGTGTATTTGAGCAAGACCATAAGCCGCCTTACCGAGCTCGTCAGAACTGAGGTATCCCCACACCTTGAGGATATCGTCAAAGGCAATGTCACTATGAAAGGGGGACACAGTCTTTTCTCAGGTCACCTTTGCAAGAACAAGAAGCAAAGTCGATTAATGAAAGGAGTAAATAGAGGTTGTGTCTAAAGGATAGTCAAGTAGAGGCCGAATTATTTGTTTCCCTCCAAAGTTTAGGGCAAGATAAGCTGAGGTACTCAGGACCCATGCCTCTCTCCCATGGGCCGCCCACCATTGGAATATCTTGGGTATACCTTTTGTTAGAATAGAGCAAATGAGAGACTAGATACATCAACGAATCTTGGGCTTTGAGGTAACAATTCTTGGATAGCATTCGAACGAGCTTGTAGCAGAAAAGGATCTTATCAAGCCCTATGTTGGTGTTAAGAAAAGAGTTTTGGGCCGCTATCCCCAAAATGATCATAATTGTGTTCAGGCAACATTGCTCGAGGAAATAGTCGAAAGTGTATCTAAAACCAAATGAGCAAAGGGTGAAGGGGGAACTTGATTCCACCCTCCATGATACTCTTGCTATAGAAGGGCATTACTTCAAGAGTCTTGATGATAGCATTATGTTCATCGGGTTCGAATACCGATGTTTGAACGTCATAAGGAATCCAATACCTAGACCTAAAATTGGCAATTAATTGTTGAGTGCCCACAGATATTTTCCTAGGCCTAGACTCACCACTGGGTTTCGACGATGACCCAGGGTGACTAGTTTTATGGATTCTAGCCATGGGGTTGTTAGAAAGAAAAAGAAAAAATAGGCAGGGGTAACTTACAGGGTTTTGTCGTTCAACCTTTGTCTTTATTTNGCTGAGTGCCCACAGATATTTTCCTAGGCCTAGACTCACCATTGGGTTTCGACGATGACCCAGGGTGACTAGTTTTATGGATTCTAGCCATGGGGTTGTTAGAAAGAAAAAGAAAAAAATAGGCAGGGGTAACTTACAGGGTTTTGTCGTTCAACCTTTGTCTTTATTTTTGGGAGAATTAGGAGTTTTCTCAGGCGAGGGGTGCTTGAAGATGAAGAAAAGCGCCTATGAATGTGGGTTTCAGGTACTTATACTAATACTAAGACCATCATAACCACGGTAATCAAAGGGACTTTCATCGAATGCGACGTTTGAATTTTAAGCGGCAAAGGCAATGAAACAATTCTCAAGAAACAGTCCTATTGAGGAAGCCTTATGNAGGCGAGGGGTGCTTGAAGATGAAGAAAAGCGCCTATGAATTTGGGTTTCAGGTACTTATACTAATACTAAGACCATCATAACCACGGTAATCAAAGGGACTTTCATCGAATGCGATGTTTGAATTTTATGCGGCAAAGGCAATGAAACAATTCTCAAGAAACAGTCCTATTGAGGAAGCCTTATGTCCTCACACGACATGTGTCCCTCGTCGTACAAGAACAAAAGTCAAGGACAATTGACGGGAGGTAGTTGACAAATCAACGAGAGACCAACACACGGACAAAAATGAACACCAAAAGTGAATGCAAAGAGGTATTATTTTGGGGAGAAGCAGTTGAATCGTTGGCCAATATTAATGTTCGGGGGTCGAGAATTAATAACGACCAAACATATGGATATGATGATATAACCTGACATGATTGAAGTGACATGAAAAAATAACGTTCTAAGGAATGATGGCAACATACTCTTGTTACACAAGAGGCATGTTGAGAGACATGCACAAAATTACCAAACTTAGGTACTCGAACCAATCATATGATGTCTCGATGGAGGTGCACATTATTGTTCGGGCCCAAAGATATCTCCAAACAACAAGGGATTCAGATTAATCAATCAGACTCATTTGACAAAAAAACAATGATTTAATGCTCGACGCTAAGCATGAATGGCTTAGCAAATAATGGCTCAGCTTACCTTCCCCGAGAAACTATAAGTGTGCAGCTCAAGACACAATAATGGCGCAACTTAAGCTCAAGGGTAATTGACCTGCTGTAAATGAGAGCCAACTTCCTATCACCTTGGGGTACGAACAAATTAGAAAATTCATCCTCTGACACACTACAGGACATCCAGCTTGTCTAACGGTCTTGTTCCGAGCAAGAGGCACACCCTCTGGGGTTGTTTAGTACGTGGGTTTAGGAAAATTTGAAAACATAGATTGAAGAGTAAATCCCGTTAAACTCATGTTTGACAACCATGAAGTATGAATAAGACTTCAAACTCGGCCCGGTCATAAACTCACATACTTGAATTTCATGAAACTCAAGGGAGTTTGGTTTCATTTAAGAGTTTGGAGGTTTAACATGTAAATGATATTTATACCCCTATATACCTCATATATACAAATTGGTTAAGGGATACAATAATCATTTAAATATAAATATATTATCTTAATAATCATATATCTCTGTGCATATTACCTATCAAACATGAGAATGAACAACATTAAATGTTAAATCCCATCTTGGAGTCAAACCCGAAGTTGGACAATCCAATCCAAACTCCTCCCAAAAAGTATACCAAACAGCCCTTTGGGTTTAAATACTACCCTTCGCTTAAAATCAAAGGTATGCAACGCTTAGCCACATCAGAATTCTCATTATCTCTCCATTCATTCACAGGACTGACTTAATCGTCCCAGGTGATTTGCCTGATACACATCTGTAACCCTTCTAATTTTTTTTCTGTTGCAACTTCGATCTTCCCTCCTCCAGTGGGGAACTCATCGTTCCCATCAATACCGCCACCACCTCTCTGTATTGCCAGAGATTTGCCCGTGCAATCCACTACATCACATTGTAAGTGAAGAGAATCATAAGCAAAATTGAGGACCAAAGCAAACAATGGGAAGCAAAGTGCATCATAGCCATAAAGATACCAATAATCCAACTTCAAATGACCAAAAAAATCCTCCAACCACCAAAGTTTACACCAAAGAATTTTAGGGGGAACTCAACAGTTATGCGCCATGACATATTCCTGTAATTCCTTCCCCTCACATAAAAACTCATTCCTGTTCACCAAGACGACACTACACTGAAATTAACACCAATAGGTCCTAATTGTATTCCAAAATGCAGAAATAAAATCACTGGGAAACACCAAGCCACTTTGTGAAGTTCTCAAACTCAGTATAATCACTATCGGAAATCATTGTCTGATACCAACTCTTGCCTGCAGCCTTGATTGCAGTGGCGTCCTCCTGTCGAATATGAAAGGGTTAAGAAAAGGTAACAAAAATAGTCAGGTAAAAAAATTCCAGTTCGCATATAAATGAAACGACATTCAATTGTTACATAGAGATTGATATTCATGCACACCTGCCACCAAATAAAAATAGTTAATGCAAATGCCTATTTATCCGACAAACATGAGTAAAAAACACAACAGTTGAGTATAATATTTGTTGCAAAAAGAGCATGTCAGAATAATCACTACAAGCTTTTAGGCTTCATGAAAATGTTAGATTCATGAAGTTAACAAAATAAAAACCATCTTGTTATACATACCTCAAACCATATTTTAGAACAGCAATGGAAAGCTTTGAGAACCACATTTTGAAAACAGGAAAATAACATAAAGAGGTAAAGGAATCCTAACACAAAAAAAAAAAAAAAAATGCAATCTGCTTAAGAAAGCAACAGCACCAAGAACACTTAATGATATAAGAAGGAACTCAACATAGGCAACCATTCCCTAATTTCTTTTCTTTTTTTTTTCTTTTTTTTTTTGCGGAAGGTTTCTCTAAGACGCTCACTACCTACACTAGATATTGAGGTCAGTATCACATGAACAGTTCACAAGAACAGCAACTCAACCTTGCTCATATCTTTACACAATAACATCTGAATTACTTTATGCAAAGATCAAAGCTATTTAGAAAACACATGATTTAAATGTTCCTTCAGAAAGTTCAAAGCTGCCAAACTTTTTCAAGAAACTCAAACACATCCACCTGATTAATAACTTGTATACAACTAACCAGATCAGAACCCCACTCATTTGCAATAATAATTGGCATCAGTATTTGACATAATGTCACCAACTGATACAAATCCAAGAACCAATTAAAATAACACACTTTAACTTGGATGACGATTACAAAATTTTATTTTTACATTTGCAATGTGACTCAAATTTTCCAAATGTTTTTGTTAACAACTCAAACTATGGTTCAAAAACAAAAGAATCCTCGTTCTTACCAACACATTCTGCTACAGAATCCTAGAGAAAGCCACTTCACTATCTGATTCTTAGAAACATCATGGATTTGTTTGGGTGCATTAATAATAAAACTCTACACCAAACCTTTAAGCTTCCAGAAAACATAGAACTAAAGAATGGTGCTACTTCAGTGATGAAAAACCTTTCAAAAGCCAAATGTCCTACACTTGTATGCACAATAGAGTCTTAGATGTGTAAATGTATGTATGCAGCTTTGCACATCCATGTCTGTGACACGGTACATAACAATCATGGTCACTTTTAATCCATAGTAAAGACTGCCTGAAGACACAACAAACACTCTCTTAATCAAAATTCTACGAAATGTGTACAGTATATATATTTAACAACGGAATAAAGCAAATAAACAACAAATATGCACCATTACACATACTAATCAATTTATGCCATGGATACGAGACTAGATGCATATGACATTATGCATGCCTGCAAGATAGCATGACAGCGACTACATTTATCAACTCTATCACCTAAGAATGCAAACAACTACATGGGAAAACCTCAATATAAAAATCTCAATATCACACATAGGCATTAGAACAAATGAAATATTTAGGTGCATGCATGGTCATCAGACACATAAACAAAACCCGACAACAAATCTTTTTAAGTACAGAAACTGATTGTATCACATCACACTATGAACAAACCAATTGACAGCAAAATTCATTTAATATGATAAAGGAAAGCTTATATCCAAGAAGTACTAATCTGCATAACGAATTATAAGACCACAATCGCGTTTTACTAATACAGTACCTCAATTACTGATTTGCATGCATCAAGTGCAGACAAAAGCACGTACACTCATACACTAGAAAACACATAAACAACCAAATATATCATACCCAATAGTAAATACAAAAAAACACAGCAGACATACCTTGGTGATATTCTTCCTCTTCTTATCCAGCTTCTCCTTCTTAGCCTTGACACGCTGAGCCTCAGCCAAGAGAGACATCCTCTTGGCAGTCTTTGTGTATGGGTTGAGCTTCAGAAGAGTGTTCAGATTCTTTAATGGATTCTTCTTCATCGGAGCCCTCTTCACTTCCTTCTTAATTGGCCTCACCACCGACTGTACTTCATCAGAGTTGATAATCCTAGACAAATCAGCATTCACCATCTTCGCCCTAGGCAACAGGTAACCCTTCTTCTTCTCCGACGGTTTCTCAAAAGTTCCATATATCTCATCCAATTTCGCAAACGCCGACTTAGCCCAAATGATAAACCTACCCAGATGGCCTCCCGGAGCGAGCTTGAGAAGATTGAGACGCTCCACATTAGCAACCTCAACTCCAGGAATGTTACGAAAAGCCTTAACTAACTTCGAACCCTCGGTTCCGTACACAATCAGTGGGCCTTTGCGAGAGATGTATCGACGATTTCTCATTTTTCCTTTTCCTGGACGAATTGCGAGACTATCTTTAGCCTTTTCAGCATCGGGATATGCACCGATTTGCTGGAGTGCCTTGATTGCATTTGAGGTTTTCTCAATCCCCTCAACGGAATCAGAGACAACCAGTGGTATTTCCGGGACATTTTCGATCCGATGACCGCGGGCCATCACGAGAGACGGAACGGCCGTGGCGGCAATGGCGGAGGCGACGGCGTATCGTTTCTGATTAACCGGAATCTTGCGGTGCCACCGGCGCCAGATCTTAGTGGGAGCGAACATGCGGCCACCACGGCACATATTACCGAAAGCACCCTGACCGGCGCGGTGGGTCCCACCGCCGGGGACACGGGGAATACGAGAAACGGCGCGGCCAGTACCCCAGGACTCAGCTGAAGTTTGGTGGCCGGCCTTCTTCGACACCGCGTAGGGCTGACGAGCATTCCTGGAGATGTTGGCGTGGACGTAAGTCAAGATATCTGGTCGGATTGAGGCTTTCATGACATCCGGCAAGGGAAGGGCGGAGGGGTTGGTGGTGGTGGAGTCGACAGACATGTCAGACTTCAGGCCGTGGACGGTGACGAGAGGGCGGGCGGCAGCTGCCATTTCTGATGTTTGAGGTTGTGGCGGAGGGGAGTGGGAGTGATAGAGAAGGGAGCGAGGCTAGGGTTTTTGGTGGGAGACGAGATTAGTGGCTATATATATATATATATATATATACACATTGAGGTTTGATTAATTATCTAATTAGCCCTAAAATTATTTTTTATGTGACAATTAAACTCTTAAACTATATTTTATGCCGGTTTAACTTTTAAATTATACAATTGGACTCAACGTGACAATTCAGTCAAAATTTGCTGTTAATTTTGATAAAAATTATCAAGTGCACATCACATAAGTCAAATATTAAGTAATCGTTTAAGGGTTACTGAGGATTTCCATCAAAGTTACCAACAAATTTTGATTGAAGGGTCACATTAAATCAAATTGTATAATTCGAGTTAAATTGATATAAAATATAATTTAGAGGCTCGATTGATATAAATAATATAATTCAGGAAGAAACTAAATAATTAACTCAGGACATTTTTTATCTTAAATTTTTTTAAATTTCTAATCCATACTAAAAATTTAAAATTCTTGAATTATGTCGTCAAGGATATTAAATAATAATAACATTGTTCAAATGTACTGTTTTAAAAAAAATTTTAAAGTAAGTTTTGTTTGTTTTTATTTTTTATTTTTTTCTTATTGGGAGTTACTTTATTCTTCTAATTTTAATTTTATTTACTAAAATACAGNATATTTTTTAAAGTAAGTTTTGTTTGTTTTTATTTTTTATTTTTTTCTTATTGGGAGTTACTTTATTCGTCTAATTTTAATTTTATTTACTAAAATACAGCTAGATGACTTTGTAAATAGTAATTNAAAAATTTTAAAGTAAGTTTTGTTTGTTTTTATTTTTTATTTTTTTCTTATTGGGAGTTACTTTATTCTTCTAATTTTAATTTTATTTACTAAAATACAGCTAGATGACTTTGTAAATAGTAATTAAGTTTACACTTATTTGTTAATAATAATCACTTTTTTACTTTAAAAAACCTTTTGTACCTAATTGTTAGGGATAATTACACTCAGGTCCTCTAAATTTTGCTATTTGATCACTCAGGTTCCTTGATATTTGAAATATTATACACACACCCCCTAAAATTTGTACGTGCATAAAACACTTAGCCTCCTGTTGTAAATATATTCGTTAATAAATTACACTTAGATTCTCCTGAAGTTTGTAAGTATATAATACTTAGACCTATTAAGTTTAAAATATTATACTTAGACAAAAAAATACTCCAATTAAAGATAAAATATCAAAAATTTTAATTTTTACAACCAAAATTCATGTTCTATTGTATCATTTATTGAAATAAAATTTTAATTTTAATTTTAATTTTTTCTTAAAAAATCGTAATTAATATACAATTACACTATCTATTGGAACAAAATTAAAAAAAATCAAATAAGGGGTTTCATAATAGAACATGAATTTTACATCCAAAATTCATGTTCTATTATGTCATTTATTGAAATAAAATCAAAANAAAATATTTAGACCTATTAAGTTTAAAATATTATACTTAGACAAAAAATACTCCAATTAAAGATAAAATATCAAAAATTTTAAATTTTACAACCAAAATTCATGTTCTATTGTATCATTTATTGAAATAAAATTTTAATTTTAATTTTAATTTTTTCTTAAAAAATCGTAATTAATATACAATTACACTATCTATTGGAACAAAATTATAAAAAATCATATAAGGGGTTTCATAATAGAACATGAATTTTACATCCAAAATTCATGTTCTATTATGTCATTTATTGAAATAAAATCAAAAATAAAAATTTAATTTTTTAAAAAAAAATCATAGTTAGTATATAATGATATTATCTATTAGAATGAAACAAAAAAACTAAAAAATTTAAAAATTGGTCAAACTGTAATGGACACAATATTTTTTAGCTTTAATTGAAGTATTTTGGTATTTTAATTTGGTCGTTTAAACTACCAAATTAAATTTCAATAGACAATATAATTGTATACTAATTATGATTTTTTTTTTAAAAAATGAATTTTTATTTTTAATTTTATTTCAATAAATGATACAATAGAACATTAAATTTAATTATAATATTTAAAATATTTGATATTTTATTTTTGATTGAAATATTTTTAGTCTAAGTATAACATTTTAAACTCAAAGGGTTTAAGTAATATATATTTATAAACTTTAAGAGGTATAAGTTTAATTTATTAACATATATATTTACAGCAGATGTTTAAATGTTACGTGCATATAAACTTTAAAAGACTTGTATATAATATTTTAAATATCAGGGGTTTAAAAAATTAAATGACAAATCTCAAAGAGTTTGAATGTAATTCTCCCAAATTGTTATTGTTATTCTCTATTGTGCATTTTCTATTAATTCTTTGAAGATGCGACAAGCAACTAATAAGCCAAGAANTTAAAGGGTTTAAGTAATATATATTTATAAACTTTAAGAGGTATAAGTATAATTTATTAACATATATATTTACAGCAGATGTTTAAATGTTACGTGCGTACAAACTTTAAAAGACTTGTATATAATATTTTAAATATCAGGAATTTAAAAAATTAAATGACAAATCTCAAAGAGCTTGAATGTAATTCTCCCAAATTGTTATTGTTATTCTCTGTTGTGCATTTTCTATTAATTCTTTGAAGATGCGACAAGCAACTAATAAGCCAAGAATTGAGCGATAAATTTTTCAAACTCAAAATCTATATTTATACTATTTTTGTCAAAAAAAAT